CCTAGCCACACCAAATCAATTGGCACACCACCTAACTACAACGTATAATACAGAAACAAAATTATCCTGGCATGGTGGGCAGCCCTGTAGTCCCAGCTACTTGGGAGGCGGAGGCAGGAGGATTGCTCGAGCCAGGAGATTGAGGTTGCTGTGAGCGAGGCTGACGCCACGGCACTCACTCTAGCCTGGGCAACAAAGCGAGACTCTGTCTCAAAAAAAAAAAAAAAAAAAAAAAAAAAAAGTCTTCGGTCTGAGGCAAAACGGAGGTGGGGACGGCAGCCAGACTCCAGATGACCACGGAACTCTGACCCACGACCTCTGCAGCTCCCTGGGGCCGGGACTGCGGAGCCGGAGGCAAAGGCTTCCCTTCCCTGGCCTGGGTCCGTCCCTGCCCCTGCCTGTGGAGTGGAGGGGAGGGGAGGGGGTGAGCGCATACGCATAGCTCGATGCACGCCAGCTACGACGTCCCTTCGCCGGAGTGCTCGAGTCTGCCCAGCCTTAACCGAGGAGTCTCAGTTCTGCCTTACAGCTGGGGAAGCCGAGGCAGCCTGGGTGCTTGCCTGAGGCCAAGTCGCTTGGCTCGTGCGGGCCAGGCTGGACTGAGGACAACGGTGACAATCACCGCACTGATGACAGGGCACCGTAGTTGCTCTTTTTTTTTTTTTGAGACAGAGTCTCACTCTGTCACCCAGGCTAGAGTGCCGTGGGGTCAGCCTCGCTCACAGCAACCTCAGACTCTTGGGATCAAGCGTACCTCCTGCCTCAGCCTCCCGAGTAGTTGGAATTACAGGCATGTGCCACCATGCCTGGCTAATTTTTCTCTATATATATTTAGTTGGCCAATTAATTTCTTTCTATTTTTAGTAGAGATGGGGTCTCGATCTTGCTCAGGCTGGTTTCGAACTCCTGACCTCAAGCAATCCGACTGCCTCGGATTCCCAGAGTGCTGGGATTACAGGCGTGAGCCACCGCACCGGGCCTGTGTTGTTCACTTTAAACAACTAAAATCCTTGTAGACGCCTCTCCCTCCTGCCTCCCCGTAGACAGCCCTAGAGCCACGTTCAGGTCCCTGGAAACTTTTTTTTTTTTTAATTTATTTCAACTTTTATTAAAAAGTTTGTCCGTCTCTTAACATATACATTTTACTGTATTACTCAAATAGTTTATTTCAACTTCTATTTATTTATTTTTTCCATTTTTTAAAAATTTCAGGC